TTCAAGAAGAGTTTGCTCCAGGCACAGTCAGCCCATTGTATGCTAATCAAGGTGGTCAGTTGAAATATTCACTCCTACCCCAACTGACAAAAGTCCTTTGTCTCACCCTGGTCATTCCACAGATATATAAACCCTTTTTCCCAGTTCCAACAGACCTCACTACCTCTGAGGATGCTTGCCATAGATGCAGGCGAAACGTCAGGAGAAATGCCTCTAAAACATGGCCATATAGCCTGAAAAAACCCACAAGAACTTAAAAATAATTCTGCCTTCCATGGTATTTTAATCTGTAATCTTTTAATCTCCTCCTTTTTCTGGTCTTCCTTTGCAGCGGTGGAGAGGGTCCTGCAGCAGGGCTCCCACCAGCTCCCAGGGGTCGCCTTGGATGTCTGTCCTCACTACGACTTCCTGGAGCCCCCACAAGAGAAGGAGAAGGAGGAAGAGGAGGAGGAAGTGTGGGAAGTGCCCAATGGAGGAGAAGCGGAAGGGGGCATGGAGGCCTTGCCAGAGGAGGCCCCCCAGCTGACCTGGATCTCTCTCCCGGAGGAGGTCCCCCCACGCCTGCTGCAGTCCGACCTGGTCTTGCAAGAACTAACCTCTCCAGTGCCGGAGTGCTCCTTGCGCCTGGAGGGGCTCCAGCTGTGCATCTCGGGGGGAGACTCCACTACACGCTCCCGGCTGGAGGCCCACATCCGAGGGGTCTTGCGGGAGACCGTCATGGAGCTCGTGCCCCTCCCCGACTGGACAACGGCAGACTTCCTGCGACGGGAGGACGTCCAGCAGGGTTTGGCGGAGCGACTGGCAGAGCGACGGGTGGCGGCCTGCTTCCTGCCTCCGGACAAGAGCGGGGTCTCGGTCACAGTGGTGGCTCTGACGGCGTTCCAGGCGCGGCAAGCGGCTTCCCTGCTGGGCTCTTTCCTACGGCGCTTCTCGCTCCCGCTCTTGGAGCGGCACCTGCCGGCCCTGGCCTCCTCCGCCTGGGAGCGCCTGCAAGCGGAGCTGCGGCTGTGCCTCCTGCGCCCAGCCGAGGATGGGACCCGGCTGGAGGGGGTGGCGGTGTCCGGCCTGGAGGACGAGAACGCGGAGCGGGCAGAGGCCTTCTTGCGGGAGAGTGCCCCCGACGAGACCCTGGTAGCCATGGAGCCCGGCCAGCTGCGCTTCCTGCAGCTCTATCATCGGGAGGTGCTGGCCGGGCTGACCCACCTGGCCCCACTGCCCATCGAGGGGAAGGACGTCACCG